GGGGGGGGGGGGGGCCTGCCATGCTCCACCCACAAAACGCCCTATGTTCTGCCCACGAAATTCAGCTACCCTAAATTCCACAAGTCCCTACTCATGAGTCAGCTTGAAAGCAGGCATGAGGGATGACCCCAGACTGGCTGTGTTTCTGCAGTTGATAAATGTGAGAGTGAGGTGCACTTAAGAGCAAGTGCCCTTGGCAGTTCTGGGGACATTGTGTAAACATCCCCTTTGAAGTCTAAATCACTTTTGGAAATGACATTCAGACTCCAAAGCCAGTTAGACACTGAAAATGTTTCCTAATATCTACTTGTACACTTTTTCCTAAAGGCAGAAGGTGTTTGATCAATATTGTAGTTCCAAGTGATTTTTATGACCCTGCTCTCAGCAGGTAGCACTATGTAAAACATATCAACCTACACATTTCTAGCGAATCATCCAAAATACTAATTGCTTTAAGTATCAATTCAGGTGCTTCTTCATACAAATTAAATTTCCCAACAAATGCACAAGTAGCTTATCAGGAAGGAAAGGAGTTTGCAACATACAAGATCTTCCAATATTAAAACACACCTTTAATCTATATTAATTTCATAATTACTGGAATTACTGTGACTCTCTTCTGTTGTGCTAATTAATTTTGCATTCATGTCTTTTAAGTCTTAGATCTTTCATAAAACATATTAAACCCTAAAAGGACAGATGGAGTAATACAGGATAGTTGGTAATGGAACTGGGAGCCTTTCACAGAAATCTTTATCTATCTACTTTGTGTGGCCTGGATTTAGTAAAGAGGGAGAACAGTATGGGGAAGCACCATAAGCAACCAAAAATGAGTCCACTGCTGTTCATCAAGCTTTTTGTAAACTGATAGGTGCTGTGAGTTTGTTCTATATGCTGGGAATGGTTGGGTTTTGTGCCACTATTCTATCATTTTCCCACCGCTAGAGGCCACAACTGGATTTTCACACCCTGAAAAAAATAGTATGATTTGATCATAGAAAAAAGGGAGTGTCTTGTCAACCAAACAGCCTTGCTTAAATTAAATGGTTTGCCTTTCAAGAATGTGTTAATGACAGGCATCTGTACATAATTCACTTCCATCCACCTTGTTACATTGAAATAATGCAATTTACTTTTAACTCTTACTTATCCAAATTGTTGAAGAAAGGGACCAAATCCAGACCTTATGTAAGTGGGCAAATTAAAATAAGTAGCAGTTGTACTACTTAAGGCCTCCATTACACAGGCTTGAAGAGAGCAAGAAGTCATATTAGACATGTGGTCACCTGCATTGTGCAGGAAGATGGGTGTGGAGACCTGGTTTTCAATGTCCAAGGCAAAGTATCAGATGAAGCAGAGATGCAGCATGCAAGCACAATCATCTGCACCATGCTGCACTAATGCAAAAAAAAAATCTACAATGAAAGTAACTGTGTTTTTGGTGAAAACTATGATTTCCAATAAAATGAATCTTTCGGTTAGCTTGGGCTGAATTTAAAGCCATTTTTGCCAGTGTTTGTTAGTATTGCTAATATTTCTTAAAGCCTCAGGTCTTGAATTATTATTCTTGGAGAATCTGTATTTTTAACTACATTTGTGGACATCATGGTTTCAGAGAAAAGTTGAAAATTGACCTGTGTTTACTTCATAAACAAGAAGGAAATTTTTTTTTCGTCAGTCAATCTTATTATATTGGGAAGGGGGAAATTGAGGTTGGCAATGCTGTTTCAAATACCCCTCAGCAGTCACTTTTAGGGTGAATTATACTGAAACTTGCAAAGGATTCTGAAACCAGAAAAAACTCAGTAACTTCAGCTCACCTTTTCTCAGAGATTTTGGGCTTGCTCAAAACAAAAACTAAAACTAAACTGTGACTCAAATTAAGATTTTTTTTATACATCTCCCTTGCCAGAGTCTTTCATATTTGTCAGAACACAATCAGAAAGAACAGACTAGACTGGATGATATAAAATACCAACTAATGAAATGTTAAAAATTTGCAGGATGCAAAATAATGATGAATTGCAGTATTCAGAGTGGTTATACAGAAATTACAAAGAACCATTGTGTTTCTTAACTCTTAAGAGAGAATGCTACTGTACAAGCAAGTTTCTCCCATGTGCAACAGATAAAAATCAGAATTTAATCATCAGAAACCAGTTGAACAAGAACTTACTTAAACTGTTATGGCATACGATTTCTAAATGGGCCTCAGACTAGCTACAGTTTCTGCTAATGACAACATTCCTATTACAAATGGAATAAGAGAAGTGGTAGGGCAGAAAGCATAAGTTTTCATATTTACAGAGAGTACTGGAAGTCTAGGTTCTATGGTTGATTGTCTCAAGCATTTGCCAAGGGTGTGACTTTAGGCAGCTGATATTCA